GTGCAACTGGTAACCAGGTAATTGTAGTTCACTATCAGAGATTGTATCATCCACCCATGTTTCAACTATGCATATGACATCTGGTTTTCTGTTTACACATTGAGTCTCAGCTGGTCAAGTTTTGGGAAAAGGCTTCTTGCATTGTAATATAATATACAGAACATTGATAGTTTGCTGTCTGGTATTGTGGACATTACACTCTGGGTTTCAGATGGGCAGCTTGGCCCTGGATTCAGCCCCAAAAAAGGAGTGGCTGGAGATGCACACAATTCAGGACTTGTAGCACATGACAGATTATCATCTCTCACCTCCGTGGCTGCTGTAGCTGTAGCTGTTTCTGTGTTTCCATCTGCATTCACCGCTGTGTCAGGGCCATTTTGGAGACCTTCCAGACTAGGCCTGAAACAACAACTGACAACTGAACAGAAGGTCGGAGCCGCAACTCGAGACTTGACCACCTTTCTGACAAGTAAACGAGGACCATGGGTTTTATATATGACATCGCGGGGAACACCTGACTGCATGAGAGACCACCTTTCTTTCAGAAGCAATGATTCACATTTTCTCTCAGTAGGGGACATGTCAGGTTTGATGACAATAGGGGAACCTCGCGAAGATCCTCTTTTTGAAATGATCCTAGTGGCATCTGCTGCACGAATGAATTTAACCAGTAGGGGTCGAGGTTTACTATTCCCTTTATATTCTCAGTCCTGGAACCAAACTTTTGTATGATTCGTCTGATTTCCCCGTGATCATGCATGGTTATGTACTTGTGATTTGATGAGATGATGATGGTTTCTGTCGTTCTTTGATTTTCATGTTCCTAGGCTTTAGGACATGTTCACTCATTTCAGGCCTGCTCTATAAAGCCAGTCTGGGTCTTCTGGAGTCACACACTCTGATTGTGACATATAATATTGCTAGACTATGGTGATTAACGTATACACATAGCCCAACCCACGTGCGCGGTATATACCACGCTGCCGAGGGTTTTAAAATACCCGTTGGACGTCCCAAATAATTGGTCTTAGGAAAGCTGTATAAAAAGGTACCTTGGCACAAAAAGCTACTGTCGCAATTTTCAGCACCATAGTGCAAGTTTTGCAGTCACTTTGTCAATTTTAGTAATTCAGCAAGCGAGCAATGGCTACGCGGGATGCTGGAGGAATAGAAGAGAAGCAGAATGTACTGCAGCATGGCAGCCAAGCAGTGAAAGAAAAGAGCGGAACTGAAGAATTCGGCGAGGAATCGTTTGTCAGTGCTATCAGCAGGAACAAGAAGCTGCGACTGGGGTTGCGCTTAGTGATCGGATTTGTTCTTTTACTTGCGGTTCTTGGCTGTGTCGCTGGAAGTAAGCTCACTCTCGTGGCGTTGGCGAACAAGCTCAGGCACGTTACAGTCAACCAGACGAAGCAGGAGGTGAGCTATTAGTAACTACGTATCGACATATAGCTACGCACGGTATTTATTTGTCTGCAGCTCAAAGACAGGTCTACAGACATTAGTCGGCTGTACTGGCAGCTGGTCATTATTCTGGTCCTCCCCCATTGTCTGACGTTTGTGCGATCCGCTGTTGTGGGAGTAATTGGGAAGACCAGAAAGGCGCATCCCTGGCCTAGGAGGAGTGCTCTGATTGCGGTAGGTTCTAGCTAGCTATAATGTCAACCACCAATAATTTACTAGGAATGCGCACGCGCATATTTTGCCTCGCGCCTGCCAGCCAAGTCCGACTAGACTGAGGCCGCTCATGCGCGCGCTCTACTGACTGCCAGACTTCCTAGCTCACACGGCATTAAGCACGTACGTATATTATACGTACGTGCGAGAATACAACCCGCCCGGAGTAGTTGCCTCACGTTAACGCGCTCGGCAATTATGAGCTGAAGATTCACAGTGGTTTGTCTTGGAGCCATCCGAGACTGCTACATTGAATCATAATACCCCATATTTATTACGGATGCATTTGATCAATGATTTGTGAACAGTCATTCAGTTGTAAAGCATTTTGTTCACTGTGACTGCAAGACCTTGATTGCAATTGTAGAAACTTCTCTCTGACGTTCTAACACTCAGCAGCACACGCGGCGGTCACGCGCTAACGCGATGGCCAGTTTAGTGCTGTGGCCAGTGGTTTTATCGTCTTCTATGTCGGCTTTGCCCTGTGTAGTATAGTGCGGAATACACGTGCGTACCCGCGCTGTAAAAAACGCGCATGTCTCCCGTTCACTAGCAGGACATTCTGGCTCGTGCGCTCCGCAACGGGCCTATTGCGCGATGTAACAGCGCACTGGCTTGCTAGCTATGCAAATGTATATCCATGACGGACACAAAATAGTTGATAATGCTGCTGGGCTACCAAATTAAATTGCATGGAAAAGGTACACCAATGTCCAAGAGTTGTGCATGGTGTTCTCATGGGATGGGCACGGCTTTTATGGGTTGGGTAGCCACTCCGCGAATCCCTCCTTGCCAGCTCTGCTGGAAGTCAGAGTCAAATAGTAGTGGAAAAGTATATGTGTCTCCCACTCTAACACAGGGAGCATTATCATCGATGTTGGAAGTGGTTGCAATGAGTGTCTTTGTCTTCTCCGTCCTCTGCTATCTCACTCCACTCCTGGCTCTACTGAGCATGCAGCCAGTCTTTGCTGCTCAGTTTGTACTCGACATATACTACACTCCGAGCAGATGCAGACCGAGACGGAACCACAGGAATGGGCATTATAAAAAACCCTGGATCATGCTGAACGGAGCCTCTTAGATATGAGTGATGAATATAGAACTGGACCTGAACTAGGTGTTCATAAATTCAACCAGAGAATCCGGGACTGCTTTGGTGCCATTCTCGACAATAAGATTGTCAAAATTGTTGCATTCTTCCTGCAAGTAGTGGGCACCGGTGCAATCATAGCGACTGTGCTTCTCGCCCACAAACCGGACCTGGACCACCACATACCCGTTATAGCACTCCCCCTCTCTCTGGTGACTCTGGGGGCCCTGTGGAGCCACAGGTTCCAGGAGTTCCTGTTGCAGGCTCCTCAGAGGAATCAGAGGAATCCGGAGACAGTTTGTGAGAGGGACGGTGCAGCTGACTCCAGTGCACGCTATAAAGCAAGTGAGCCAGAATCCAAAGTCACACCATTACGTTATTATCAAACAATTTTTATGTGTATTACAACACTTTCTGTGGCTGCCTTGCAGATTTCCTCAATTCGTTCTACCGGATCGTTCTGTACCCCGTGCTAGCCTACGGAGTCTTCCGCCTCATCCACTCCAACAAAGATATTGATCCGTGGGCGGCCTCCACGCTTCACCTTTTGGGGACGGGCTCCGACCTCACTCTCTTTGTTGCACACATTCTGACAAGTTTCTTTGGGTATGTGTTTGCATGGACCGCCTGTCACGTGACCTTCAGGACAATTGGATTTGCTCTCCCTCTCCTTCTTTCAACCCCGGTGGCCCTGCTTATTGGGCTGATTGTGCCATACTTTGAGGAATTTTCACGCGAGCATTTCTCAAAGTTCAACAGTCTCAACTACGCAGTCATCGGGCTGTGGTTTGTCGTTTATCTCGGTCAGGTCCTTGGCATTGCCTATTACCTTTGCACCAAAAACAACCTCATTCTCTCACAGGACAGGGACATGTTTCTCAATCCTCACTACGAGAGCGTTTTCCTTGAACAGTACCTCTCTCTCAACAGACAGGTGGACAAGTATTCCAACGACATGCAGGTCACATTCGATGGGCATCTCTCTGAACCCCGCACCATATTCATTTGCTCCACAATGTACCGCGAGAACGTGCGGGAAATGCGGCAGATGTTAAAGTCCATCAACAGGATGTCTGAGTGGTACGCCGACCAGAGGAAATTGAATGGAAAAAGGAAAGATGATACGGTCGAATCGCACATATTTTTTGATGGAGCTGTGAATGGAGGACAGCTCACCCAGTATGCCGTTCAGCTGCTCTCTCTAGTTAGTGAGTGTCTGGGGGTTGAAATCAGAAGTGGCACTAGAAAGGAGACTTACTATGGACAGAGCATGAGCTGGCAAGTTGGAGAGAGGAAGATGACATTCACAGTCCACTTCAAAGACAATCTAAAGGTGAAGAACAAGAAAAGGTGGAGTCAGGTAATGTACATGAACTACGTCTTGAACCATCGGATCCCAGAATCTCAAACATCAAAGAGGCCGCTGAACAAGGACCACACTTACATTCTTACGACTGATGCCGACATTGATTTCACTGCCGAATCTGCCATGGTTCTCATGGACTCCCTGGCCTCAAACAAGGAGGTGGGTGCCGTGTGCGCCCGCACACACCCAAAAGGCTCTGGCGTCCTCTACTGGTACCAGATCTTTGACTATGCCATTGGGCACTGGTTTACAAAACCAGCCGAGCACCTTTTGGGGTCAGTCCTCTGTTGCCCGGGGTGTTTCAGCGTGTTTCGATGCAGGGCCCTGGAGGGTGTTTTGCAAGAGTACTCGTCAGAGGTACAAGGTGCAGCAGATTTCCTTTACAAAGACATGGGGGAAGACCGCTGGCTGTGCACACTGCTCATTCAGAGGGGGTGGCGGTTGGACTACTGTGCCATCTCAGAGAACCACACTTACTGCCCAGAGTCATTTGACGAATTTTACAGGCAGCGACGGCGGTGGGTCCCTTCCATAATTGCTAATTTTCTGCTGGTAATTTCAAAAGCCTGGAACATCACCAGTACAAACAACTCTGTTTCTTTAGCATTTATCTTCTTTCAAGCCATCATGGCTTTTTGTACCGTCATTTCCCCAGCCACTGTCATCCTCATAATTGCCTCTGGATTACAGGGGGCGTACCAAATCAGTGACGATGCTGTGCTTGCAACGATAATCATTCTCGTCCTCTTGAGTGTGATCTATGGCTTGGTCTGTCTCTACACTAGCCAGAAGACACAGATTGACGTCACAAAATCCCTCACTTTACTCTTTGCCATTCTAATGGCCGTCATCTTTGTGGGTATCTTCAAGGAAATTATTCTCGAGGTCTTTCCTGTGGACAACCGCCTCGTACTTCTCCAACCTCCCACATGTACTAACAAGTCTGCCGACTGCCTGACACAGGAGGTTGCTGTAAACATGTCATCTCCTTTTAAGGTTTTTCAGCTGCCAACCAGCCCGACAACCTGGTACGTGGCAGTCTTTGCCGTTACCTACACAGCAGCTGCTCTTCTCCATCTCTGGGAGTTTCCCTTTCTCTTCCACTGTATTTGGTACATACTGGGCCTCCCGTCTGGGTACCTCTTGCTGCTCATCTACTCTGCTGTCAATCTCGACAGTCAGAGCTGGGGTACTCGTGAGGCTGCCAAGGCAGCAGGAGGAGGAGGGGGAGGTTTCAAAATGGTGAAAAAGTGGGCGAGGGAGGGAGGGAAAGTAGTGCGGGAGTTTCTGTTGCTGTGTTGCGGAAAGAGAGGGACAGATGGTGGAAAAGAAGTGAAGGTGCCCCTTCTTCAGGAAGACACAGAGAGTGATTTAGCTGAGGATGAGAGCGGAGGGGAAGAAGCCGATGGTATGGCATTTGCCAGTATAATTATAAAGAGTTTCCTTTACAGAAATAATTCCTGTAGGTGTTGAGCACAAGCAGATGAGTTCAGATGCCAAAAAATGGCTAAAAAGGCAAGAATGTCAAGTAAGACTTGTAAAACTATAATGTATTGAGGCTGATTTCACTCTCTCGTGTGTTTCAGGAGTACATAGACAAGTTTCAACAACACGGCTACTGCAGTTTGTCCTACATTGCTTCCATGACAAGAAGGGTTTGTAAACTAAAAGGTTAGCTGGTCACTTCAATAATAAATTTCTGGATACTCTGCAGGAATTCAAAGCCATTGGTATAGATAAACTAGGCTTTGTACTGAGACTAGAGAAAGCAGCCAAGAAGCTTCCAGCCATGGTTATTGAGACAGATGTGCCAGTAAGTGTCATCTGTAGGTTAACCTTGTAGAAAATAGTCTTATTTCCTGTGTGAGTGCCCCAGTTGGCCAATTTTTTGTCTTTACTTATTTCTTCTTACTTATGTCTTCTATCCCATGGTACATGTGCATGTGTAAGTTACTTTTAGTTACATAAGGTCCTATGCATTATTCTACCTGCAGCCAACAGTGACAGACTGGCTAACAACCCTGGAGATGGAGGAGTACACTGAGGTGTTCCACAGAGCTGGCTATAAGACAGAGGAGGACATTGAGAATCTGAAAGAGATTGATGATAAGGAGCTCAAGAGAATGGGGATTGTAAAAATGGGTATGAAACATTGGCTTCATTCTGTGGCTATGATCTTACTGTCGATCTCCCTTGTGATCAGCTCATGTTCAGAGGCTCAACAAAGCTCTGGAGTGCCTGTTTCATCCCACATCAGGTAGAATAAGAGCTAGCTAAGTACATAATTTTGGCTTTCTTCACTTACGGGCCTCCTGGCCCATTATTCCTACCCCACTGTCCTTTTTGCTGCATTTTTCACTTGTTACTTTGTTTGAAGTTGCGAGGATGAATGTGTTAGAGTCTTCCCAAGATTTGTAATCACAAGGATAAAGAAGTTTTCCATTTGGTATAGAGTGAGAGTGTGTGTGTGTCTGTGTGTTTTTATTCTTCAGTTGAGATTCAGATCCACAAGGCCAAGAGAGACCTGAGCAGCATAGATCCAGCCCCAATTGACAGCGAGGACAGGGAAGCACAGTTCTGGCAGAATATCCTCAGCAATGAACTCAAACCAGTCAAAGTCCGCCTGCAGCAAGCGAGCAAGGAAATAGGCCAGAAACTGACGACCCTTCGAAACTCATCTCTGGTCATCATCTTCCTCATCAACATCATGTGGATTATTTTCGTGTACACGGTCGAAGTGGTGAAGCATGATCTGCCAGGGAGAGCTTTCCACCTCTTGTTTCTCGCAGTCTACGGGTTCATTTTCCTGGTCAGCTTTTCGACAATGCTGATCCATCGGTTCCTGATGTTGATACAGTTCCTCGGACGACCAGAGGTGTTTGATGAAGCAGTCCACACGCTGCAGGAGCAATAAACTGCACACAGAACAAGCACAGTTTGAGTGGATAGAAAACATATACACATAGAATAGACATTCACAATTCTTGGTGTGTGGAGTAACTACATGTATCGTCTGATTCAATTATGTTGTAGATACGTTCTCCTTTAGGAGTCACGAAGCAGTTTGTGCATCTGCACTTCACCTGATCCGCGCACATTTCAAAATTTTACACACTGTCCCGCTGCTGTAGCTAGCTATACAAGTGGAAACTGAAATCATTTCTTCAAACTGAAGGGGGATATAGGGATGGCTTGAAGCACCAAAAAGGAATAAACAAGGGATCATTGCACAGCAAAGATGCACAAAGCTACATGACACCATCCCTATACCTTTGTCTCATATCTTATGAACAATAAAACAAAGATATAGGGATGGTGTCATGTAGCCTTGTGCATCTTTGCTGTGTAATGACCCCTTGTTTGTTCCTACCGGCTGTCCATTATGTGATTGTGGGGAAGAATGCTATATACATTGAAAGTGCAGCTCAGCACCTTTTCATAATAGTAAATAATGTGTGACCTCCACTATGCACTAGCTGTGCATGCGCGGTTATACTGTTATATTATTGATGGGCTGGGCTAAGAGTATGCGAAGGAAATTCACCAGACTCTCTACTCCCCCGAGAGAATCTGGCTAGCGAGACTATGCGTTATGCACATTGGCTTTTTCACCGCGAATGCAGTTGTTTCAGGAAAATCGCCAGTTTATTTTCAGGCTCGCAAGGTGCGCCCATAGGTCGCCTCGTAAGCCTGTAGTGCCAGGATAAGCGTCGACACTTACACACACACACACTAATAATATCCTGTATGAGCACAAGAGTATGCACATCCCCCCCCATTTTAGTATCACTAGAGTAAAGTATATACATCACCCAGGACTCTAGAGCTAGAGTAACAAGCCCACTTCCCCGTTAGGAAATTCCATACCTATGACATCACAACTCCCTATAAATACCCCACTGTGCATCAGCAAGTCCCCCAGAGAGCCATTGTCAATACAGTACTGTAAGCTGTAGATTTTGCATGAGAGTCGGATGTGTGGGGAGAGTTGGCTAGCCATCAAAGATCTTTAACCCACCGTCTCCAGTTCTCAAGGCTGGGCATCCATGTCCTGCTCTTGTGTTTGTATGAGTGAGACTGTGTAATCACAATGTGATAGGCTAGGGCTGCACAAGCGCAAAACACTGAAGCAAAAGTGGGTACCCTGGTAAATCTAAAAATACATGTAATTTGGACCACTGAGCTGCCACATGTAGTGAAGTTGACAAAAGTCTCTTGTCTTATTGTGTTTGTTTGGTCACTTTCCTTTCTCCCCCTTTCCCTCCCTTTCTCCTCGATCACCCCCACAAACACACACACAACAGACAGGTAGCCTCGCTGCGCATGCGCACCGAGGGTTAATAATATGCACACATACATGTCGTTATACATAATACAAAAGAAAGAGCACACATAGAACACCACACTGCAAGAATTAGAAAAATGCGGAGATTAAATTAAACCTATTGACTCTCAGTGTACAGCGATAGGATGACAACGTGTGACACGTGATGAAAGACACCTGATACAGCTCTACTCTCTAGGCCGGAGGGCCATCATCTAGGTCTCTCCGTCCCCAGACCCCACCCTCAGTCCGAACAGTCCGTCTGTCAAGTCTAGAGGCTGCGCCGCTCCCGATGTCGTCTGGTGGCCTCTCGTCGAGGCAGCAGCTCTGGTGTTGTGTAAGAGGTCAACTGGACCACTTCCTCTCCCTCCTCCCTCCAACAGTCCCCCTGTAGCCTCACTGGTAGCCAGAGGGTTCCGGGAGTGGGCCGTCGTGTCTGGAACCAACTGGGAGCTCAGCTGGATATCTGGGGGTGTGGTCGGTGGTCCACTGGTGAGTAGATCAGGCATGATGCCAGCCCCTCCTTCAGTTGCTGCCGTCCTCCGGTCTTCGGTGCCATCGGACGACGTTCGCTGGACCTGGTTGAGACCGCGGTGCTCCCCCTCTGCCACTGTGTTCAGGGGGTCGAAGGTCACCCTGACTTGCTGAGCACGAGGGCGTCGCATCACTCCCCTCATGTCGAGACTGGACATGTCGTCACTGTCCAGTTCCAGAGACGACTCCTGGTCAATAGACGCCTCCATGGCTTCGAGGGTCTTCTCCATTTCCATCATGTTCGAAGGCTTCTCGTTGTCCAGCATCATCGGGACTCGTTTGAAAGGGTCTTCCCCCGCCATTGTCCCCGGTTTCTCTGTGTACACATTGTCCAATGAGCCTATTAACGAAGGGTCTACCTCCTTTTCCTCCTCTTCATCATTCATTGCAGCCTGTAACACATGGGGTAGGTAAGGGTGACATCGTGTATTATACACAAAGTTATATATTATGTAGATCATACTATTAGGTATGGATGGCACGGCACACGTCTATTCTCACATGATAATGAAAAGCACTAAAGTGCAAACCCTTGGCAAACTGCACATGCGTGGTACCACTAATTGAAGGGCGGGGAGGGGGGAGGGGCTATAAGGCAGAGCGAGCGGATCCGGTCGAGGTAAGCCTGTGCTAATTAGCATATTGGCTTGTTGACTTGGTTTTCACGCCATAACTCTCGAACACAGCACTTACAAAAATCACCATTTTAAAAATGAAGCCAGTGTAGCGCTGAACTCATTGGTGTCGCAATTTCGCTGGTCTGTTGCGCGTGGTGGCAGAAAACATGGTAACAGACTGACATACGGATGGAAGGAATGACAAACCAAGTACTATAACCCTCGCTGTGCATGTGTGCTGAGGGTTAATGATGACAGACTGCAAAGTAATTTACACCAGATACTAAAATGACTTCTGTATTATACTGGCGATTACAGGGAGTGTACAATAAATTGAAGAGGTTCTCATTATGGGAAAGTTGTTTTATGTACGTATACCAACCAGTCCTCCGACGCTCCCTCCGGCAGTGAACTGTTGGGTCTCCTCCTGGCTCTTCTGAGTGGCCACCAGCTGTGCGTGCTGAGCCTCGTGCTGCCGCCGTCTCTCCAGCTCTGCTCTGCTCTCCCTCTCGCCCAGGTTACGGGCACTGTACTTCTCCACCTCCATCAACAGCTCCTTGATCAATGTCCGGTCTCGCTGCACACACACACATGTACACACACACACAGCAGTGGTTTCAAGTCATGTATGTATTGTAGTACTGCGCATGCAAAACCACCGCATATGGCCAGGGAGCAGTATTAAAGGAGGGAGTTTGTCTGACTAGTTGGTGCACAATCACCTCCAAAAAACATTGGTATGTAACATTTTGCAAAGCTCTGTAAAAGAGGGGGAAAGAGAAAAGGAAGCTAATGCCCCCATGGCTACTTGCTTTAATGAAAAGCACTGAAGTGCAAACCCTCGGCGCATTGTGACGCATGCGCCGTACCACTAATTGGGCTGGGTTTATTTATAGCTGTTACTCGTGGTCTCTTGCCAGCTCACGCAGAGTCTGACACGGGCTAACTACACTACTAGATAGCATGCACGAGGCGATACACGCCATGGGTTGCATCTTCTGGTGCCTCCGAGGTACGCAGAGCACGCGGATCGATCAGACCGTAGTAAGCCGACAGACAGACCCAACTACCGTACCCTCTCGGCGCGCATGGACTACAAGGCCACTGGAAGAGCTTTCACTCTGTGTCACAACTATGAAGTATATAGCAACAATACACCAATATTCATCTTTGGACATAATTAATCTATAAGAGGGTCTTCCCCCGAGAGATTGGTACATAAACTCACCTGTTCCACCTTATAGAACTTGGGAGTGTCTAGATGTAGGAGTGTGTGGTTCATGCGGTGGGCCAGCTGGAGACCCATGAGCCCTGCCACGCGAATGTCGTTGTCCCGCAGGTCCATATGGGTGATGTGCTTGTTCTCTGCCAGCACCTCCGCCAGTGCAATTGCCCCTGCAGTAATTATTAATAACAACTGCTGGTGAGATCTGTCAAATATCAATGGCTCAAATACAGTAGTAACACCCAGTATCAATAGCACTGTTTTGCAGAACCCTCAGTGTAACTAAACGTGTGCTCATCCCCATACATTCCCCTTGCAGACCTGCCTCACGTCTGCGACGGCCGTCTCCCACCATTTGCTAGCTCTCGTCGTGGTAGCTAGTCCTTGAGGCAACGCTCAACTCAATGGCCTAAACTTCTTTTTGTACTTTTAGCAAGCGGGTGGAAACAAGGATAGGAAAGCAACTCGAATACCTAGCTTAAGCAGTGGATGAGAAAAATTGGGCAGTCTAACTAATGAAAAGCACTAAGTGCAAACCCTCGGCAAACTGTGCGGTTCTCAAGGCTGGGCACCCAGGGTCCTGCCTCTTTCGTTATGTTTATATGTTATTGTCTGTGTTTTTGTATGCTTGGGTATGTTATTGTCTGTGTTTTGTGTGCTTGGGTGGGGGAGGTTTTTCTTTTCCTCTCTTTTAGCTAGTATGCTATAAACATGTTTTTTCATGCATGGTATATACCACTACCGAAACAACTAACTGAATGTTATTCGCCATTTCAACTTAAATTCTAATGGGCAGTCCTCCAGGGGCAATCCTGAAAGATACACAAGCATGCAGGCCATGCAGAAAAATATATAAATACACAATTTCAAATTATCCACCGATTGTTTTAGGCGGAAAAAAACACTCTAAGGTTGAAAAAAGCCACCCTACATCTCTCCAGACAGACGTCTACGGACGCAGTGCTATGCCGAACTATACACTGTCCTTTGAGATGTATGTGGGTCAATGGTAGATTCGTGGGTAAGGGGAGGAACCAGAGCTGTTCCCAGCCAATGCTCTGGACCACCTGTCAGTTTCAGTGCGGGTCCGGGATTCGAACCGGGCACCTTATGTGACAGTCCCCACGTCTCTAACCACTTAGCCACTTGGGCTGGCCACGAGAGCTGATGAAAAAATGTTCCTCTTATATCAACACTCATATTACATCATTATAAAAAATGACCCAGACCAGGGATCAAACCCCGGACCTCATGGTTCAAATGTGTGGTCCTTATCCATCAGGCCACACCCAATACTTGGGAGGGGCCAAGTGCAATCTGTATAATATTATAATAGTTGTCATACAAACCCTCGGTGCAAAGGTGTGCACGTGACAAAACATTGCAACACCCATACACATGCACAGATCGCTAATTAATGGGCTGGGCCACGCTGTTAAACGCATGGTTCCCAATACTTGGCAGGGGTAATTTCAATAATGTATATTATACACAGCACTAAAGTGCAAACCCTCGGGAATAAAGTATTAGCATGGGGTTAAAGCAAGTGTCCTTTGCAGAGTGGTCGTCCCCATACATCTCGGAGGGTCCCTCATCGGAGGTTTCACTGTGCATATATTACGAGGGGAAACCGGTTGAAATGAAAACCACTGAAGTGCAAACCCTCGGCAAACTGCGCATGCGCGATACTGCTAATTGATGGGCTGGGCTATTTGTATGCGTTTACTCGTGGAGTCTTGGTCTCTTGCGCGGAGAGTCTGACACGGGTTAGCTACAGTAGTAGATAGCATGCGGGAGTTGATACATGCCATTCGTTGTGACTTCCTGAGCCCCCAAGGTACACAGAGCGAGCAGATCAGGTCGCGGTAAGCCCAGTGAGATTACGCAATTGGCTTTTTCGCTTGTTTTTACGGCATATCTCTCAAACGCAGTCGTTTCAGGAAAATTGCCACAAAAGTTCTGACCTTCATTGCCTGTTAGGTACATAGGTAGTATGGTTTGTGGGACGAAAAAACATTTGAGAAGTGAGATGTTGAGTAAAAGACAGACAGACAGACAGACAGACAACCCAACTACTGTAACCCTCGCTGCGCATGCGCGCCGAGGGTTCATTACCATCACTGGTAAAACCTTTTCTACCAAAAGCTACCACCGACACATTAAGCTGACAACTGAGAGCAATACCCATTTGCAGCCACCAAAACACACAAAGATGCTCATTGAAGAGTGGTACCAGACGACACTTACCTTCGTCAGTCATCTTGACCTGGCAAAGGTTAAGTTTCTCGAGCGAGCGGTTGGCCAGGAGACCCAGTTTAAGCATGTACAGCCCGTTGTCTCCACATCTGTTGTATGAGATGTTGAGTTCTCGTAGTGACTTTGTGCACGGCTGAGAAGCAGAGAGAGAGAGAGAGAGAGAGAGAGAGAGATGGTTGAGTACTAGTGCAAACATGAGATACATACATACAGTAAGCACCTACTATGCATACAGAACTCCGGTCAACATTATTGTTTTTGTAGATGAATAATGTATATCCCACTCTCTTCCACTGTCTCACTCCAGTGCATTGTCAATTCATCTGAACTGCAGGCCCATGCATCTAACCTACAAACTGCTTAGTGCATGTGATCCGACCCATACACAAACTGTTGTATTGGCATCTGTACAGCTTGGCTTTTGCAGGCCATAGTTTGGCCTTGCACGAGATATTTCTCAGTGCATGGGAGCCCTCGGTAAAATTGTGACATGAGAGGGTTTGGCTCCAATTCACCAGGAAGCCCCGAGATGCATGTCATACAGCAAAGGCAATACTGATCCAGGGATGGGATACTGACCAGCATGGCAGAGACATGGTGTATGCCGTCGGATGAGATGCCGTTGGAGGAGATGTTGAGGACCAGCAGTCCCTCTTGCTGCTCAGCCACTCCTGCACAGATATACCTCACTCCTTGGTCCTGGGGTCACAGTGTGTGTGCCACAGAGAGAAGCTTGTTGGGTAATGACTGGCTTCAATGCTACTGTATATAGTGCAGTGGATGTACACATACACTGCATGTACTTCCACGCACACTTCACTAAAGAAAAACACACTTGGATGTGAACACACACTATAGAGTTGACTCTTGGTTAGGAAAATAAGCATAGAACAACGTACAATGGGCAAGGGGGGGTTTGGCGAGGGAGCATCACATTGCGTAAGACCTCATGTGCAGTGCGACCACATGCCAGTTGTCTAAACCGTGTACATACGTATTTACATTGATACTAGGAAAAAATTTATTAAGATGCAGATTATATTTAACCCACCCACACAAACCAAGTACTGTGATCCTCGCAGTACATGTTTCCTGAGAGTTAATAATTAATTACTACCTTCAAATTAGCACCTCTGCAACTACTCTGGTAGGAAACAATATGCATGTGTAGTACAAATGTGAGCCTTCCTCTTGGGGAAATCTGAGAGACCAACCACAGAAACCTTCTGCAGGTGTATCGTGCAGGCCAACAACCACAACAAATAGCTGAAGAACAGCAGATTTTGAACTACAATTGCACGAGTGACACTGACTTTGCTCCTTACTGTACATTGTAGGCATAACCCTTGTGTTCGGAATAATCTTAAACATTATGCAGATCGAGCCCGGAGGAAGGGAGGCATTACCTGGAGACTGTTTTCCCGGACGTCGAGAACTCTGAGGGTGTGGTTGGAACGTAGTATGGAGCCGAGGTGTTGGCCGTCCTCTGGTCCCAGGTGGTTGGCACCCAGCCAGAGCTCCTGCAGGTTCTCATTGAACTTCATCGCTGCCACTGGGAGAGGGGGGGCGCAGAAGCAGTGAATACACTAAAACACGCGAATAAAGACGCCTCATAGACTAGTGTATTCTACAATGTACCTCTCAATAAGGGACACCTCTGAATAAAGGACACTTTCAGTTCCCCGGAAGGTGTCCCTTATTTAGAGGTTTCACAATAATGTGAACTGAATGTCACCTAAAACGAGCTGCCTACTCTGCCTGTAACTACAACAATAGGACAGTACTGGATACAGTGTTAAAACGGGTAATAGGGGATTCTCTGATGATACCCTTTGGTCCTTGTGTCATTCGGTTCTAAACCAAAAAATCTCTTTTATGGGAACTCTTTAACACTGTCCAAGTGTGTGACTTGAGGTACTTACTAAGGATAAAGGTTCCCTTGCCAGTGAGGTTGTTTCCCTCCATCTTGAGTACCTGGAGGTTACAGTTGGCCCTCACGGACCTCAGCAGTAGTGTTAGAGTCTGTTCCTCCAGACCACAGTAACTGACATTAGCTGTGGTCAGGAATGGTGACTGCCAGGGGGGAAGGAGACGGAGGACATAGGAGAAGGGAAAGTGGGACAGGGAAGAAAGAGAGGAGAGGAAAGGAGAGGGAGGAAAATGACGGAAAATGTGGACGGTGAATGGACAAACAGGGGCGGGCGGTGTATCACAAAGAAGACAGATTTTCAAATACATGTACATATGTACATGTACCTATGTACAGCTCATATATGCATATTACATGATACATGTACATGTAATGATACAGCTATAGGTGAGACCTTCTTGAGAGTCCTGCCAATGGTGAGCCAGGCTCTTGGTCGCAGTCTGTGGTTATGTGCCAGGTTGATCTTGCTGGCACAGCCGTAGAACTCGACCATCTCACACAGAGCTATCGCTCCCTGGGTGGAGACAGGATGAGAGAGTGGCTGATACTGGGGAGAGAGGGCTTGGAATCCTTCTGTTGCTCCCATAACTGAAGCAACCAATGTCCCTTGCAACAACCAGTAAAACAAGGTGAGTGTATTGTACACATTCTCTATATCTAAATGGCCATACAGATGAGAGTACGTACACATTGACTTCTTTCATGGAGTCAGTGTGTGTGGTGTGTGCATATACAACAGCTATTACTGTAAGTGCAAACGCTCAGACAAATGCTCAATTAAAGTTTACTTTCAGTTTGCCATGCTACTTGGTATGCAAAGATAATTCCCGCTAAATCTCCACATTCTCCCTTTTCACAAGACCACACACTGCTATTTTCTTCATACTCTTCTAGACCTGTCCCTGCAACCATCCTAGCAGACAGTTGTATTAGCCACAGCTTTCCCCTCATCCCAACAAGCACAAGGCCCACTACCCTCCCACTCTCCTCATACACTCTCCCCACAAGAACACTTCCCTCTCCCCCTCTTTCCTACCCTCCACATCTCTCCACCACTCCCTCCCCTTCCCCAGTAGCAGCAGTACTGCATTACAGCTGCATTACCTCGTCCTCAAGGTTGGTTTTCTCCAGGTCCAGAGTGTTGGTCTGGACTCTACTCAGAACCGTCTCCAGTACCTCACATGATGCATTGTCTAGTTTCACTCCTGCACCAACAGTTCAGCACCAGCTGACCCTTAGTACCCTCTATAATGACTATAATGATACACTAGAACCGAGCTTACAATGGACACTCCAAATATACTCCTCTGTAGAGGACAATAAAGTACTACACCTGAATATAAGACAACTCTGTACACAAGACCATTAGCGTATCTTCTATTTCGATATAACACAATGGGATGACCATTCTTAGTATATACGTTGTTCTTAATACTCTGTTACGATAGCTTAATACATACAAACTATCACTTCACATCATATACTAGAGGAATGCAATGGGCGAAGGAAGGGAGCAGTTTGATTATTGCACATTTCACGTGTATTTAGAATCACGTATAACATTATGGTATGTTGCATGCCTACATGTAAACATAATATAAAATCCTGCATTCAGACGACTAGGTAGGCTCACTTTGCTCACCAACAAGCAGACAAAAATTGTTGTGGTTGCGTACATCATGATTGCTCAACATTACACAAGGACATTTTGAGCACTGAGCTGACTGACTACGTAGGCACAGCTCACATGCCATTTATGGGTAAACAGACGTCTTGATCAGCCAAATGGTCTGTGAGATTGGCCAAATGCAAAAAAATTATTCGGTGCGAGATTTTATTCGGCTTATTGGCGAGCAAAGCAAGTCGTCTGATTGCAGGATTTTCTACGTGACGGCCACTAGGAACTGCTGATTCTAAATACGCACGATACAAGTGCACCAAATCGAACTGTAGCCAAAAATATGTTGCATTCCTCTAGTTATACATTCGTGCTTTTTGTGCATGGTATTATGAGCCCACCTTTCAGGTCCAGGTTGTCAATGGGAGTAGAGAGGTCATCCAGACGCTGCGGAAACAATAATAAACCCCAGAAGTGTGGAAACAAGAAGGTGTGGGAACAATAAAACCCAAAAGATATATTATATTATAAATAATAACGTGACCTTTGAACTGCTCAGTGTAATGTTCCTGTATGTATGTACACTGTGTGAACCGTGTCAATCACAACTATGTACACTTGCTTCACTCGCCATGAAATTTAACCTAATAATCCATGTCATCTGTTTGCTCATACACACCTGTGTGTGTTCTACTACAATACTACAATGTTCACTACCTGTCTGGTAATAATGATTTACACCAAGTGGAAATGCGACCAGTGCCTATGGGACTATGTACACGAAATGAAGTACATATTGGATTGTAATTAGCTTGCGTATCCCGGCTAACTTCTAGCCTCTAGTCCCTAACACGATGATTACACGATGTAGATTCAGGATCTCACATACTTAGAATTTCACTTATATAGCTTGCACGGTTTGCCAGGCTCGCTAACCATTCCAACGTTTCTATGCACATGGTTCCAACAACCTTGCCAGCCTTAATACCATTGTCCTATATTATACCCTTTGACTGTTTGGTAGAAAAATACAGACACATACCTCTAGCTGCTCTAAGAGTTTTGTGACGGGTTTGACTCTCGTGGTGGAACACTCTCTCTGGTAGGCATTGATCATGTCCTTTGCCCTCTCATTTGGGTCTGCAACACACACACACACACACGTAACAATACACGTATACATAATTGCCTACAAACGTAACATCAATGTAACGTAATAATAATAATAATACTCAGGTGGCTGCCATAGCACATAGGGCCATCAATGTAACATAACGATTGTAAAACTTTCTCCAGTTTTCACCAATAAACTTTAAGCAGGTCGTGGGCCAGCAGGCTCAATTGGGGCCGCTACATGAAACAATTTGTATTCCTCCATTCACAAAACAAAGGCTTACCATTTTAGAGAATAGACACTCACTGGTGTACATAATGTATATACAGTGTGTGGAGACACTATAGTACATATATGGCACTGTTTCAAAATTCTCCCGTCAAAACGCTACTTAACACACATACATAGTAAATTGTTACAAACAACCTCCACGCTTGAATTCACCAGGCGTGAGATCGAAAGAAAGATGAGAAAATTCCTGAGGTAACCCTGTGAAGAAAGCTATTCGTGCCAGTGCTTACGCACTTATATGGACATTACACATGCTATATACAACCTGCATGCATTACAGTGTTTTGGTTCTTTGGCTGTTACCATACCGAATGACTGTTCCCTGCAAGAAAAGACTCTGTATGTGTAAAGGTGGCATAAAAATAATGGTCTTCTTAGAACCCATGTATTGTATTTTCAGCACACTACCTCTAATGCCTCTAATGCATGCATAAGCTGTATTCTGACATACATCGAGTACACTCGGATGTATATACATACATGAGCTGAGTGGGCAGGGTGCATAGGAAAAGGTACAACAGACAAAATGAAAAAGCACTAAAGCGCAAACCCTCGGAACTCTGCATGCTTGGTACCGCTAATTGATGGGCCACACATAAAGGCCACATGATTTGACCAAGACATGAACAGTTGATGCAGCAATGTGTGGGGGGCAGGAGGCACTACCATTGGTTCATAGCAATGCTGGCATATAGAGCTTGTATTATTCATTCAGACAGAGCACAAATAGTTGCAGGGGCCAAGCCTCAATTAGATAACTGCTGGCATTATCAAGACAAGGAGGGTGCAGTTCAGATCTCAACATTATTGTTCCATACTTCCATATACACTAGTAAGCGAATACACTTTGGGACAATCTTAATGTTTGCAGTTCACAAGCTAAGGTGAGTTAGCAGCTCAACAACTAAACTACTGTACTGCATTGTAGGGCATGCAGATATAAATGGAGGCCACAATCCCTGAACCGTGCTTATTTTGGTACCACACGCGGCAACCCATCCCCAGTCACATTGTCTGTACTCACTTCGTTGGTACATGCCATGTTCCTGGAGCTCCACCGCAAGTCTGTCCTTCTGCTGAAACTTGACCCTCCGTCCTGGTCTAGGGGGAGGCCCCTCATCGTCATCTTCCTCCTCTTCCTCCTCCTCCTCCTCGCTGCCGCATTCCCCAGAGTGGTCAATGTCCTGGGGACTCAGGTCTCTCTCTGGTTCAATCTCAACATCACCCTCCTCCCCTCTCCCACCCCCTCTGTAATCATTCTGTATGACAGTGACACACAGCATTACACGGTGACTGTACATTGAACATGAGTTTTAAACTTTCAATAGGCAATGATGTGAATGTCCAAAAGAAGGGATATATGTATATATAGGCAGAGAAGGCCTTGGACAGAGAATTGAATTTGCACATACTGCACTTGGGCAACGTTGAACAGAGGGTGAGATCTCTCTGACTTGTAATCCTGTATGTACAGAGGACACCGCTCAGGACCATTTACATGCGTAGCGTGCGGAGATTTTCTCGCTTCTCTGATACATCAACTCTCCACCCATATGTACACGTGTTACAAGTTAAGTTGGGTCTGTCGAGGCAACTAATTCTGTGTCACATCCTAGAATTATATACTACTAGCAATGCATTGTTGGCGAGCGAGCTCGAGCAGTTCAATATTTCGCGTGTGTTTTGCCCGTTTTTAGAATCACGTAGAACATTAAGGTATATATGTGCAGTAGCACGTAGAACATTACACACAGAGTCGTCACAAGAAATTCCCGCATTGAAACGACTAGGTAGGCTGCTTCACTCGGCCAATTATGTCAATCCCAGTAAGTCACACCTTAGGAATGCATTTATTCTGCACTCTAACGTGCCAATGTGTCGGCTTAACACTTTGTGTGCGCCACGTAGTATTGCGGATTTACGCATGCGCGGAATATTGCCACGCCCATCTGTGTCATACGTAATTCAGCGCCACTAAAGTGGTGTGCGGCGTTGCGAAACAATTACACGCTAGGGGCACCCATAGTGTTAACGCCCAGAAAAGACGGTTGAAGGTGCTCAGCAATAATGTCTGTATAGTGTGTGTGTGTACATATACAGTGTATGGAGGCCATGGCCTACAGTGTGGTCCACACAAACATTAATTTGTTGTGTGTGTGCCTCAGAGTGTAGTGTTTCAGGTCACAGAGGTTGCCAAGTTCAGGACCACTGTATATACAAGGACCAAGTCACTGACAAACGATGCCTCAATGAAGAGGTTTACTACTCAAACAATTTGGGTGAGTTATGTTTGCAATCAGCATTTTATAGCGCAATGAAAACAGAAAATAACAGCAGCACACGAAAACCTGCACACTTCTTCTTTACAAAGCCACCCACGGTAGTTTATGGACATAACATGTGTGCCTATCGCCACTGTGCATAAGGTATCCCAGGCTGGTCCTATTCCTGTAAGTACATACACACCTACATGTACAGGTAAAGGGTTTAAAGGTGTACACTAGGAACACACACCACACCCACTGTACTGTAGTGTACACCATCACATGTGTATATACATGTAGTACTGCCAGCACTACAATGAGAGAGAGAAATATATAGCGGTAAAGAAAACGTACAGCTTGTGGCTGAGAGCCTTGCTCGGTGGGGTCTGCAGACCCTGACGACATCTGACTAATGCCGGTTGTCAACCCACTCCCAGGGCAGTCACCGTACGAAGATTTGCTGCAGAATAAGTCTGCAGGGGTGATGGTGGGCTCTAAATAGGGGAGGACCAGTGGCGCTGGCAGCGAATGCCACTCCGTCTTCCCACGACGCAAGAGAAGACAGAGTGTGAGTGAGGAGGCAGGGTCTGGAGCAGGGCCTGAAGGAGAAAAGACACACATTATAATTATGAAGTCTCTGGATCGGAATGTGACCTATTCCACTCCCACATAGCATTTCCTACTTCCCACTGGCGTGAACAGACCCTGGTCAACTCCGCGACCCTCGCAGTATGAGATTAATGTTTATGTACATGATATGGCACAAGACGTGGTCGGGAAACGAGCAACGTAAACACCATGGAGGTGTGTGACCAAGACGCGGAGGTTTCAGGCGGTCCCTGGGAGGCCCGGAACTCACCTGTGGTGACTAGTGGTGCCTCGTGCACGGCTCTAACACGACGAGGAGGTCATTTGACCTCCAGAAACTCTCCAGTAGCCCATCCAAACACCACGACGACTGAACACACACACGCGTAGTACACTCGCAGGACACACGTGACTCAAGCGTGATCAAATTTCAGGGGGCGTGACTATAATTGAACTCTAACCCTCGGGCTCGAAGTTGAGTTGTCAAGAATGGCGTTTAGAATGCTTTCAAGCAGCTTCCGACTGTTGTCCAGAGCCGTGAGTTCTTTTACTCTACTCAAAAACTGCCCTCTTTCCCGTCTGACACCCAGGAGTTTCAGTGTGTTCTAATAAACGCCCTCTCTCCCCTCCCAGGGTGTCCGGCGAGCATCCGGCGAGTCCACATACATGTCCTACGAGGCTAGCACTGGCAGTAGCGTTGGGCTCCAGAGAATAAAGACTCTTCAGAAGACATTTGCTGTGAGTTATATAACACGTCGCCCTTGGTTTGTATTTCCTATATATACCCTGTATGTCTATATGTGTTTACTGATTACTGGATCAATTGTACAGTATCACAGAACTGTGCCCATAGAGTTACGTAGTGTGTAGTAGTCCTATGTGTTAACAAAGAAACAAACAAAGCAAAAGAATGATGCCCTCGTATTTCTCTTTCTACTGTGTAAATCGTGCGCAATCCCCTGAGAGCGGCCTGTCACCGTGTGGCGGACGTGCGGAGTAAGTAATCTCATGGGTATAGTGAAATACTGGCAATTTTCACAGCCACTGGCTCATAACAAATCAGTGTATGGACAGGCCTAAAGTACGGGTGATTTATACTCAGGAAATATAGTATGGCAGTATGTGTGGAGGGAGGAGGTGGGAAGGGAGGTCATATGGTAGATGAAAGCAATGAATAGGAGAACTATAGAGACAGTGATGTAGTTTTCATTTGCTCTCAATTTGTTCTCTTTTGTCTGCTGAACATGCATTGTGTAGTTCTCTGCTTCAAATGGCACCGTACACATTACCTTCTTTTGTATGACCCCTCATATTATTATTTGTGCAATATTATAACTTTCCAACTCCCCCCCCACACACACACACACCACCACCACCACTACCAATCTCAGGAGACGACTGGCCATGAGCCAGACCTGTACCGTTTCCTGCCTCGAGATGAAGCCATCTACCGTGTCGCAATGGGCATGGCCATAGTTGGTGGAGCCACTGCTCTGGTCTATCTAATTAGAATGGCCATTGGCAATGTCCCTCCCAAGAGAGAGTAGCCGACTTCACTAACATCTGCTGTCCCTAGTCATGTCGATGTATTATGCTGTGGCTATAATATGTAGTAGTGTATTCACATGATGTATTAGTGTATCTGTGATTTGTCTTCAATCATACGCATAATAATGAAGGATTGAATCTGGCGAAAAAGCAGTTGGGCGAAATTAAATTGTGGTTTGAAGCAACGTTTAAGCTCACAAGTGGTCGTTGTATGTACACAACGTTGGTTGGTTCATTGATGATTAATGAAAGCAGCAGGGGAGCTGTATGTATACACACACTGGTCTCTTAGACTTTACACACTGAGTGCGAGTACACAGTCACATACTCACATTGGCTGCTTAAAACATGTTGGGTTTCTGCAACAAAACCAAACTGTTAGGCCCCACTGAGCGCAAAGGACCGGGAGGCTACAAAAACCATCCCCCATGTTGTGAAGAACTCTTAGTTGACTGACCCAAATTTTTTGTTAAGATGATGGGATTTATCCGAGTTTATTGTTTGGTGCTTTTTATCACGCTAAGAGCCAGTTACACTAAAGGTGAGCTATTATTAAGTTTTGGTGCTGGCTATATTATACACTGTGCAAAAACACATGCGAAATTTTGATGAGAGCTGCCTCATAAAAAAAAAGTAAAACGAAATAATTTGCCATGGAGAAAGGAAGGTTGTGTATGTATGGAGGGTATTGATTGTGAATTGTGTGGCAGGTGTAAGAGAGTGTGTGGAAGGGGAAGTGAGGCTGGAGGATGGAGAGGGAGACTATGTCGGGAGAGTGGGGCTCTGCTACAGAGGACAGTGGGGCTCAGTCTCCCAGGACCACATCAATGAGCAAGTTGCTCGCGTCGTGTGCCAGCAGCTGGAGCTACCATCACATGGTTAGCTAGCCGCTACGACAATAAGAATCAGGCTACATGTGCAAAACTATAAAACAGTCGTTAATACTGAGTAGATTTTGAGGTAAAAACCTGCCAGATGCTCAAAAACTGGCCATACTCCTGATTTGAATCTTGTGTATCCGTATCCGTGCAGATCCCAAGGTGGTGATGCAGTATGCTGGAGCTAAAGGTCCTGTACACCTCTCACGTGTTGTGTGCTCTGGAAACGAGAGCAGTTTGCTCGAATGTCATCATCAGAAGGAGAATGGTAGAGGTCCAGGGAGCTGGTTTGGACGTGACATTGGTGTCAGCTGTGGTATGTTCTGTTGTATGTTTAGCTTCGGCATGCCCTCTCACAGTTTTGCCGAGTAGAATGATATCAACGGTTTTTCATTACGGATGTATACAGGGATAGCAACCTGCCTTGTTTGAATACTTCCAAAAGTGAAGGCTCTTGACTGCTTATACTGCACAGCATTCACGTTATACTGCCATATTTTAAACACTAATGTTGCAAGCGAAATTTCCTAAGGTGAATGGCCAATTCTCATGCATGAGTATTACAGACATTATACATGTAAATAATAGGGTGGAGATTGAGTGGTGTAGTCAACCTGTTCGTTTTGCACCTGCCTTGAAGCAACACCTGAAAATCAAAGGTTCTCCTTTGAAAGTTTCCTCGTATTAGTCTGCATTTCCCACTTATGGTTCATGAAATGGTGTAGTTTCCATTCCAAAGTGCTTGGAATTGCAAACCTTTTGTAAAGTCAGCCCTGGCAGCAATCAGTTCATTCTTCTCTCAGCTCCACCATGTAGGGAAGGTGAGGTGAGGCTACTGAGGAGCAGGGTCCAGACATGCCACAACCAGGTCTGGGGCTACATCTGTTTCTCCCCAGACACCTGGACTCACCAGAGTGCACGTGTAGTGTGCAGAGAGCTGGGCTTGACTTCTGAAGGTTAGTAGCAGTCTCAATTATATTTTTTAACACTTACTTTTTTCCTGCAGAAGCTCTTGCTGACCACGAAGGTTTTCACAAAAGATTCTTCCCTCATTTTGCCAATTTAACAAACTGTACTGGATCAGAGGGGCGGCTTGGTGACTGTCCCCAGAGCTCTAATCAGGAGCGTTGTGGTAACCATGCAGCAAAAGCTTATTGCTCAGGTACGCAAACAACTCCCTGTTGCATTATCTATCGAAATTGGTGGTAACAAAATCGAAATCTACTCAGGAATTGAGAGGTGCCCGGGAAATGAGACCGTAAGACTCAGGGAATTGGATAGGAATATGGGTAGCAATGTTGGAAGATTGGAGATATGCTACAATGGATACTGGCAGAGTGTTTGTAGGCACAATGCGACTGGACCGACCTCGGCAATTGTAGCTTGCAGGGAACTCGGTTACTCCAATTTACTGAAAGGTTAAAGCAATACTGTGTTTTGTGTTCATATATATGGACTGTGCATAAACAATTAAACTCTGAAAAGGGGCCCTCTGAATCTGAATAAAAGCTAAAGCTATAAAGGGTTGTCCATTAGTGTGTTCTACAAAATCTGAGTAAAGTCTCCTCAAGGTATCCCTACTCAGATGTTTATTGACTAACAATTTTATCACTGAATTTTGGGATTCAATTTCTCTCTTTTCTTTTACTTTCCAGCCACCTTTACTTCAATTGGTCTGTATGATGTCACTCTTCCAAGTATACCAATTCTGTGGGAGGGTTTGCAGTGCCATGGTAATGAAAGATCCTTGTCTGACTGTCCGAGACGAAATGGTTTTCACAACTGTATCAACTGGGAGGATGTTGTGCTGCATTGCAGAGGTAGTTAGCAAACTTTGTTGCTTTTTTTAATCAGCTGATACGTGATTTAATAATTGCAGTTAAGGAATGTAATGAAACTGATGTACGTTTGGTTGGTGGGCAGAGTGCTGCCGAGGGAGCAGTTCAAATCTGTCAGAATGGTCTCTGGGTGTCTGTGTGTGACACAAGGTGGGATTACAGAGGAGCTGAAATTGTGTGCAGACAACTTGGATACCATGGAAGTATGTATAAGGATCATAGCATCAAGGTTTCATGATGAACACAGTTTTCTTCAATACAGGCTTTTATGCTCTAAGGGAACATGTTGGCAGTTTGCAAGACAGCTTTATAATGAACAGCACTGTGGTAGATTGTCAGTAGGGGAGGGAATATCTTGTCAGAGTGTTGGTCAAGTGAGCAACATGAATGCAGAGCTAAAGCAGCCGTCTTATGTACAGGTTTGTCAATACTGCTCTCCATTATGTGGAACATTAAAACCTCTCCCCAGATGCCAGTTGTAAAGAAGACGCTCTTCGGTTGGTTGGTGGTCATAGTGTGAAGGAGGGGAGAGTCCAGGTTTGTCATAGCGGAGAGTGGCACTCTGTCTGTGCTGACAGCTGGAGTGAGACTGGGGCAGTTGAAACTAGCGTGCTCTGCTCAAAACTTGGCTTCTCAGGGGACGCAGGTCATTAGCAACTGTTCTCACTGTCCATAGACATTATTGTCGATTTGCAGCTATGGCAGATTTTGGGAGAGAGCTAGCTCCAACTTTATCACTGGATATTGGGTGCGATGGATCACATGACGAGTCATGCAACATTACTCATCGCAGCTCCCTCGGATGCCGGGAAGTGGCTGGAATTGTCTGCGAAGGTTTGCCATTAGACCTGCAGTGCCCCTGAAGATAAATCCTCATTAATGGTGCTCCGTTTTCTCTTGTATGCACACCATACTTTTGGGCCATCATACTGTAAGTACAGTGATGTCAATCTGCTACAGCTCACTGCGTGTCTGATGGAGTTGACTTCTGCTCTGAGTGCAGTGGACCAGCCAATTGTCCAGTGAATGACGTGTGCTACTGTTCTGCCGGGTGTTTTGACAATGGTCATTGCTGCCCTGATGTTGAACAACTTCTGACCTGTCTACGTAAGTAAAGATGCAAATCCTATTTAGAGGTATTATAATTATATAGGCATAGAGTGTAACAGACCCATAGCGAATGGTCTAGTATGGTCATGATTTTACTGGTGAACAAGGGGCTGACAACATATCCCCATGTCTGTGTAGCTAACGATGGATGTGAGCCAGGAGAAGTTCGTCTGGTAGGAGGAGTGGCCAATTCATCCAGTGGAATTGTGGAGCTGTGTGTGGGCGGAGTGTGGGGGACCATCTGTGACAGTAATCATGAATGGAGCTACGAGAATGCAGCTGTTGTTTGCCGTCAGCTCAACCTTCCAGGGGATAGTGAGACTGAATTGTTTTACTCGAGTTTTGTCACCAACAGTCAATGTTATCATCAGATGCAGACAGTATCTCCTCCGGGGAGTTTGACTCAGCTTCCAGTCGCCCGGTTCTCCTGGACAGTGTACACTGTACAGAGGAGTGAGGAGAGTCTGCTGGGCTGCCCTCACGCCAGTCTGGGCAACCACCTGTGCAGTGACGTTATCTATCATGCTGCTGTTTTCTGCAAAGGTAACTGTCACTTCTTTACTCAATGCTCAATAACGGATTCCCAGTGCCATCAAGAACTCTGGGTAATGCCAAAGACACACACACACATGGTATATACAACCGTATGACACCCTGCAATTCCCCCAGTTGTAGTGTGGGACTGGGACTGCGAACTGCTGGGAGTACAGGCATAATATACTAACTCCCAAACAATTCTGTTTAGCAGTGAACTCATGCCTCCACCATAAAACCTTGCTGCAGCTGACTGTGAGGATGGGGACATGAGATTGGAGGGTGTGTCCAGTGGACATGTGGAGATATGCTGGCACGGAATGTGGGGCTCAGTATGCAGTGATGACATGTGGGATGCCGCGGACGCTAGAGTTGTGTGTAGACAGCTAGGTTTTGAATCTCAAGGTGCCTCGAAATAGCACCAGTCTACTGTAAGTGATAAGAAGGCGTTTTCTCTCCAGATGTGGAGGCTATAGACGTGATTGGATCAGTGGGTCCCATACTTATGGCTGGTGTAAAGTGCACAGGGTATGAGCCTGAACTGTACAACTGTACCAGTGACAGGAGGATCAGCTGTGAGGATAGGGGGAGACGTGCAGGAGTAAGGTGCATTACGGGTAAGTATTTACTGCACATGGTACTGCCAATAGTCATTAAAAATGCTGTGAAACCAAAATCCCTTTCAACACAGGAAGTACCTTCTCACTGAGTCAGAGTATTTTCTCATGTATAGCTCTTAGCCTCCTGAAAAGCAGTGGTTATTGCAAGGTGTGGTGGTTTTAATCTCAGTGTGAGCCCTCTTTCCTCAACCTGGTCTTTTATCTGACGCTCTATCTAATTCCCCCTAGAGTGTGCACAGCCCAGATTTATCGTGACCACTGTGAATCCCTTGCATGATGGGTGCTAGCTAATTCCATGTCTATTCCCTCAGGGGCTCTAGGTGGTATTAAAGTGAGTGAGGTGGAGGGTTCAGTGGAGGGTGTCTTGGGACTCTGTGACAGGTGCTGACAGGTACACGGTCACACTCGTGGAGGCAATGGGGGATAATCAACAGGGACCCTGTCGTCAGTCGTCTAACAAACCCATCTCAGTTGATACTACCAATACTAGTGTTTCTATAGACAAAACTAAGTTGAGAGCATACACTACCTATTCCATCACTGTAACAGCCGAGAGTGACTTATCAAACAGCAGTCATAAGAGTATACCTTTCATCTTCACAACACAACAAAACGGTAAGAAAAACATGCAACCCCCCCTGCATAAATTGCTGCAAAGTGTATTGGAGTGTCTAGAGCGCTATTCTCTCCCAACAAGGTTCATCAGTGGCCCCTCGCAATGTGAGAGCATCGTTTGTCAATTCAACAGTCATCAGTGTCCAGTGGGACGGCCTGACTCCCTGCACCCAGGTCAACGGCCGTGTTGTCAAGTACAGAGTCCGGTACACTGCAGAGAGGAGTGGTGGTGAGGTAGGAACTGAGGATAAGGCCGGAGAGTGGGACTTGACAGGAGCTGAGTTGGCACTGAATGGATTGAGACCCCATACCAAACTACTCTATTAGAGTGGCTGCGGTGAACCAGGAGGGAGACTAGGCCTCTACAGTGACCCCATCACCATCCAGACAGCAGAAGATGGTATGGTGTATTATTATCAGTGATAGCACAGGAAACCTGTAGCCAAAGGAGGAGGCACCTACGTACATATGAGCATGCATAAGAAGAGACAGAGTGAAAACATGTGTGGGCCATTGTTTGAGTGTTCAAACAGTAATTAAACAAAGCATGTGCATCACCCACAATAATTGGTGTATATACATCCTTTTATGGTCTAAACCTTCGCCCACATTGCCCTCCATTCCCCACTTTGCTAATTTGTGGAGCGAAGCAAGCCTCCTTAGAGTAGTCTCTACTCCAAGTTCCCCAGATTAACATTCTCAGACTGGGACCGTTGAACGCCTCATTGAGCCTAGCCTTGCCTAGCCTTTCTACACTGCTAAACAACTACGATCAAGCAGAGACCTAGAATCAAGCGGGTGTCAGAGGTGGTCAGCTTATGCTACCTTAGAAAAACGTGGGAATCATATGGAGTTCAGTACAGCTAGACGACTTCCTTTTCTTATGATTCAGCACTCTTGTGGTACTGGTGCCATGCTTTCCGCTAGCGTTTTCACTAGTACTGCACAGGAAACTCTAGCTATATACAAGGAATCAAAACTCAGAGTCTTTATAAATTCAGCGCTCTTGTGGTATCTTGCGCCATGCAAACGTTTCCGCTAGCATTTTCACCATATAATGTCTTAACTGATATTCATAATAGAAACTACTGCACAAAACTGTATACAAACTAGCTACAAGAAATCAAACTCTAAGTCTTTATAAATCAGTCCGAAGCAGGGCTTGCAATCAGGTCAGTCCAAAACCCAGGTAATCTGGATAAATAAAGAGACAAAGAAAGTGGCATGAAGTGCTTGAACACAGCTGAGTGACTTCCTCACCAGCACAGACCAATGACTTCCTGACCATAAGGCGTCCACCACCCAAGTCTACCTTTGTTAAAGCGACACCTGGCGTCTGGGAACCGGTGGCAAAAATCACCAGGATGACACGAGTCTGCATAAGGGAAAAGGCAGCTGAAAATGCAACAAAAGTCAAGAGGGGCCCGCACTCTGCTGAAAGCTGGCTGCAGCATCCAGTCTGTAGCTCAGTGGCCCTACAATGCAGAATCAAGGACTTGTAAACAGTGAAATACACGTGTTAACAGACCATTCCAAGAAGAAGCACTTGCAAGACCTGGTGACATTTCTTGGTGACCTCCATGTCACCGAGCTCCATCGTCTCTGCCGAGATGCACCTTCAGAAGAAACTGATTTCACACAGCGTTGAGTTGCCATCCCACACACATGGTGGCTTAATGATAGGAGACCCTGGCTCTGGTTCGGCTGGGTACGGTCTGGTTCTGACTCTGGTTCTGGTACTGTTACCTTGCTTGCAGTTCGGGTAAAAGATGAAAGAAGCAGCAGCAAGCACCAGCGCAGGCCAGCAGAGACTAGCTTTCATAATCAGAGCCATGACAGAAGGAAATTAGGAGACTGACAAACTGAAGGGATCCTGTAAATTGGGTGGAGGGCGTTTTACACAAGTGATGTACCGTTAGAGAGTCGGTGGATTTGGAAGTGAGAAAGCTTCTAAGGACGAGGGCTTAAATAGGTGCTGGAGAGGAAGCTTTAGGAGCCCTGAATCAGAGTGGGTGTACAGGATTACTACTGTATATAATAACCTTTGTCGAGAGACATTAGCACCACTTGCTCAAACCATGGTCAGATCACTGCAGGACACTAACAGGAACTGGTACCTCTGGAGTATGGAGTCTAAAAACTTGTTCCTGGTTTAAAAATTCACAAACCTTAGGTACATGAGTAAGGAATTTTTACAAGCTTAGTGTTGCAGTGAGTAACCCTGTTATGAAGTTTACAGGCTTGCCTTACATGAAGTCTTGACGTTATGAAAATAGCAGGAGTTTACTCCTGTATTTGAGCATGGGGTGACATCGGGAACAAGTGTGTGCATACCCCAGGCATTATAGTACACACCATAGTCAATATACACGCCTCGTAAAGAGTAAACCTGACTATTTCGTTATTGTGTACTTCAACTCAGGTTGACTCCTCTTGTAAGGTAAAACCTGCAAAAAAACATGGACCTGGCCATCAAATTTATTCAATCTTCTGAAATAGTTACAAACTGGGCATAGAGGAAGGGGTGTAATTGGACAAACAAAGGTTGACAATAGACGACATGGAATGCGTTATGCAACACAAGTTTATACGGGTGGTATGATGATTAATTGACATCAGACTATTGCGCTACTTCGTCCCAATGTCTAACTCAATCGAAATCTGTTTTTTGTTTTTGTAGGTTTTTTTTTGTGTTTTTGTTTTATTTGTGAGAAAATTTTGTAGAAAAATAAAGAAGAAAAGAAGAGAGTGTAGAGAAGAAAGCTGCCCATATACCGGGGAGGCATTTTTAGACATAATATATTCTTTCTTGTGCAGACAAAGTATGCTAGGAAACTAACATTTGAGGGTCAACGAATCCATCCCATAGTTCTGGTGCTGGCAGGGGGGTCTCAAATGTCTCCATCCAAATGGCACATGAGCGGATTATCACTAAGTGGAGGCAACCTCTGAGACCGAATGGAGTCATCGTTGCTACGAGGTGTCATACAGACCAAACAGACTCTTCCCAGCCCCACCACACCAGAAACAATAACACCCACTGGCTACCAGTTCACAACAGGAGACTGGAGATGGGGGACAGAGTACAATCTTCAGTGAGGGCCATACAGTGTGGACCTGGACAAAGTTCCATCTGTGGTTGTCTCTACCATTGACAGGCAGGCCATGTGAGATAGAGTGCAATAATCATAGTGTGTGAAATCCACTTTGTTTTGTCAGCTGTGGCACGACACAACGGTGACATACTGACTGCTGGAAAGCCAAGTAAACACCTGTTTTTGCATAGAACGGCAAAGAGGGGGACTAGTGGCATTTCTCCTTCTGCAGCAAGCATGTTAGCAAGCGACACCAGTGCGGGGATGTGCCTATGAG